AAAGCAATACTTGCTATTCTAAGCAGAAAAGGATTTTATAAAAGGATATAGAATCTTTCTCAGGAAGTGGAAGACCAAGTTTGTACGTTATACAATCATGACAAAGTCCAAATCGTCCTGTAGCACTGGTATCATGGAGGCATCACTGCCGCCAGCACTGGGCACAGACAGTGATACCCCTGCTGCTCTTCACTGGGTGCAACCGCTGGAAGCACTGCACTGCTGCCTCTGGAAGCAGATGTGGCTGTGGCTGCCACCTCCCACACCCGGATGTATTTTGTCTGGGGCTATGAATCTGATTGGCACAACTGAGAATATGTGTCCATGTCCTGAGCATAATGGAGCATCAAAGAGAAAGTAAAGGCAGTGTTTTACAGCTTCTCCATGAAAATACAGACTCTGCCCCACAGACTCTCCAAACACAGAAAACAGGGGCAAATTCTGGATAGTTAAGATGAATGATAAAAGTCCACATAGTTCAGCCTATCAAAAGGGTTTGTGAAGATACAGAAGACGTTATAATGCAGAAAAATCTACAATGCCTGATATTATTAGCTTTATCATCTTTGGCCCATCCACATCAGGAAAGGTTCTTGAATAAATTCCGTATTAGTCTTCTATTGTGTAACAAATCACCACAAAACTTAGTGGAGTATCTGTGAGTCAGGGATTCAGGAGAGGCTGAAGTCTGTGGGCCTGGCTCAAGGTGTCTCACAGGTTGCAGTCAAGATGTCAGCTGGGACTGGAGGAGTCATGTCTCAGCTGGCATCTTCACATGAAGGAGCCTCAGCTTTGTGATGGCTATGGGCAGGAGACCTCAGTTCCTAACCACACGGACCTCTCTATAAAGTTCCCTGCACGTCCTAACTACAGGTTAACCAGCTTTCTCCAGAGAGAGATCCAAGAGAGAGGGAGAACATGGAGGAAGTTACAATATCATTTTACCACGTACATTGATAGTCACTCTCCATCATTGCCACCACATTCTATATGTTAGAAGCCAGTCACTAAATATTGCCCACGCTCAAGGGGTGGGGAATTAGGCGCCATCAAATGGAGAAGTATTATCGAAGTTTTGGACATGTATTAAAACCATCACAAGTTATTTTTTATTATTTCACAGAATTGGCCAAACTAATATCCTTATGCATTATTTCTTTTCATTTTTTTTATTATCGTATGTCAGAGACTCTATCCTGATTTGAAGTTAAATTACCATACACCCTCCAGGGATATTTATTTTATCTGGCAAAAATCTCTCAATGCTTAGAAAGGAGAGATGGTGGCACTGGATAGTATCTTATCATCAAAGAAACACATTTCAACTATAAATGAAATATTTGTCCTTTCATTCAAGCACCTGAATCCTACAGTATAGAGATTAACAGACATCATTGCCTGGTGATCCCTATTGATGCAGTGGAGGACAGGGAGGAGATATTTCTGTAATTCAAGGCACTTTTCTGAGAACACCAAAGCATTCTAGGGACACAGACTTCAACACCTTCAATGACCAAATAGGTAATATAAATGGTAAAGACTATAGAGACTGACAAGGACTGTGACATTCAAATTCAATTAAAAAATAACAGCAACAACAACACCAGGCTTGCCGAACAAACCACCTCCGGTGCCAGTGTGCTCCTCCTGCTGAGCCCTGTAAGGTCTGACTTGCTTTTCTTCAGAAATTCAGCTTCTGAATTCACTAGTTTTGTGGCCAAAAAAGACCTTGCTCTATATAATCTAACTTCTCCATTTTACAGCCAGGAATGAGACAGGGCACTTTTGCTTTGGGGACCCTTCCCTCATAAACAACACAGGCACACCTTCTTTTACTGTGCTTCACTTTACTGGGCTTCACAGACACTGTGTTTTTTTTATACACTGAAGGCTTATAAAAACCTGCGTGGAGCAAGTCTGTCAGTGCCATTTTTCCAAGAGCATTATTTTTTTAATTAAAGTATGCACTTTGCTTTTTTTTTGGACATAATACTATTGCACACTTAACAGACTACAGTATGGTGTGGACATAAATTTTATACTTACTGGAAAACCGAAAAAATGTGACTCCCTTTACTGCAGTGGTCTGGAACTGAACCCGCAATACTTCTGAGCTATGCCTGTATTAAAAATTACATTTCACAAGGTCAGATAAAAAAGCAAGGCAATAAGAGACTTCATTCAAAATAATTTTTATGAGACTATTGCAATTGGGGGTGGAGGGTATCACTACAGGGAAAAAGATTTGATCCTTATATCTGCAAGCCTTTGGAAGGTTAGGTGGAAAAGGTCATTTCTATGGAGGAATAAACAATGGACATAACAGGATGTGGGGAACTGGGATGACCTGGAGTGGCATAATCTTATAGTAGAGAAGGGAAAGCCTATTTTCAGGGAGTTGGAAGGCGGGGCTGTATGTGGGCTCAGGCTGAGAACTGGGCAAAGTTCAGGACCAGTAAGAAAGAGAGAAGCCTAACTAAAGTTTGATCAAGTCAAAGTAGCAGGTATTTTGTTCAGACTGGTTAATGAGCACAAACAGTTCAGCTAATCATTTATGATGCAAGGAATGGGAATTTGGAGGGTCTGTGTCATAGATAAACAAGGTAAGTCTTATCAGTAGGTCTTATTTAAGTCATCTGGGGAAGGACGATTCCTTGCAATAAACCAGTTCTCATTTCCAGAACATGAAGCAGTGGGAAGATTTCTTTAACCCTTACTGTCTTCCAAGATCAAAGGGCTTGGAAAGTTCAACATTGTTAACCACTGCACTTGCAATAAAGACTGATAAATCAATATTGTATATTATTAACATTTTTTTCAAACAAGAAGTTTTTTTCCCATTCTCCCCGCCACCCCCCCCCCCCATTTTCCTGGGCCTTAAAAGTATCAAAGGCTCTTATCTGAGACCCACAATGGTTGAGGGCAACTAAGACCACTAAGCCAGCTAGCAGAGCTGAGACAAGAGGAACCAAGTCGAGGGCTCTTTCCATACCTGTATCTTTAAGAAGACTGAAGGAGAAGCCTCTGCTCAAGAGGCAGGATGAAGACTTGGGAGTGGCAATGGGGGTGGGAATGTTAACTCTGAAATAAAATTGTGCAGACTCAGAAGTTAAAGACAGGTGAGCAAAGGTCACTAAAGAACTGGGCCCTGGGGTCACCTTCAAAGGCGACTGTTAGATGCCTGCCATCGGTCAACAGTATTTATTATGTATCTACTACACATCTGGTGTTCCTGTCTTCACCGACCTGCTAGTCAAGCAGGGGAGGCCATGCAACAAGTAACTGCAGTAGGTTGTGAAGAGCGTCATGCAGAGGAAGTGAGGCATCTGGAGTCCTGGGAGGGCACAGGAGGAATACCTAGCCTGCATGGGGTGAGTGATGCTCCAGATGGACCAAGAATAGGCACTAACCAGGCAGAGAGGATGGTGAAGATGAGAGGAGCATCCTCCTCAGAGGGATTTCACACCGAAGTGCAGGATACGCGACGTGAGACCTCAGAGGAGACCTCAAACTTGTGCTCTAACTCGGGCCTGGCCAAGAATTCTTAGTATCTGGGAAGCCAGGCCAGTGTCACTGAAAAAAGGAGGTAGTTGAAAAATCTCTCCCCAAGTGCTGCCGGGAGTCTGAGACTCCAGGGCTCGGCTGCCCACAGGTTGTGAGGAAAAGCTAACTAAGAAGCCCGTGAAAAACAAACCGACCCCATTTTCCTCAGCTACCCACTCAAGTTGTACTCGGCTCACTCGCAGCAGGTTAGGACGCCGGTTTCCCGGTGAGTTTTCCAGCCAGCGTAGACCCTGGACTGTCGCCGTCCCCTGCGGGGAGGAGGCGGTCTCCAGGGCAACTTCCTCTCCTCCCTCATCAGAGGTCCCGGGGCCCCCAGGCCCTGTCGGTGCCGGGCGAGGGTCCAGGTCACCTGGCCTACCTTAATTTTCCTCACTTCAACTCAAACTCTGCCCAGCCCTGGAAGTCCTGGCAAGTACCTAAACTAACTCAGCAAGTCCTCGACGCCCGCGGGCTGGCCCGCTCCAGCCGCCTCCGCCAGGGAGGGAG